GTCAGTCGGACGGAGGGAAGAGCGGTGGTCGCGACGGACAGAGTGGTGGCGGCCGGGGTGAGGAGCGGTGGCTGAGGGAAGTTCGGGACGGTGGCCGGAGCCCAAGAGGGGGACGGGGCATGAAAGGAAGGAGCGAAGAGAGGCCTAATTCATTACTTGATTAGTGATTTTGGGCGCGCCAACTGCTAAGCTCATTAGACCTGTAAGAGCAGTGCATGTTTACATTGTGGGTGGGTGCAGGTGTTCTACCCGCGGTGGATAACGAGATCCGGTGCCGACCTTTCAGTCGGCTTCAGAGATATTTCCCAACCAGGTATCTCTTTCTAGTTGGGTACCGCTCCAGTCAGTGTTTGTTAGTGCAGGACGTGTAAGGGTTTGTGTGTCTGTTTATAAGAAGAGAGGATAAGACAAAGAAGGGAGGGAAATGATCGTGGGCAGTCCGTTGTCTGTTTGTTACGGTACCGCTAAGTCTTTCACCAGGAGATGATCGACGAATGCAGAGAAAACTACCGATCAGAGCAGCTGTCCGCTAGAATTCCCCATCGGAGAGCGGCTGAATACGATGTAATTGTGTAGCTACTGTCGAAAATCATTCTACCGTCAGAAATCGTACCCTAGGACGTCCCGCTCAGCGGTGGCTGGAGCGAGTGTGTTAGCAGGGAGGGAGTAGATATAGGGGCGGAGGCGAGGCAAAAGTGAGGTGGAAAGAGCGGGAACGGGGTTGGTGATCGGGCAGAACGGTGCCAGGTGCGGGGATAATACGATAGACGAAGGGAAGTCTGAAAGCCGAGACGAGGGTGGAAGCGGAGGCGGTGAAGCGCCTCGAGACGACAAGAGAGAGTGCGGGGTCATCACTAGTGATGGCGAAAGCCAGAGGATGAGAAAAAGAGAGCGATTTGGGAGAGACAAGGAAGGAGGTGTGATAGGGGCGGGAGCGTGGGCGCAGTAGTAGAAGCAGGTGGTAGAAGGAGTTGTTGGGAGGGCAAGTGTGAGGACACCGATGGAAGCAGGGTGGACTTGGAGTGAACGAAAGAGCGACATAGGGCAGAGGAGGGTGAGGCGGGGCGGGAGCGGAGTTGGTGGGGGTGGAGTAAGGAGGCTAAAAAGAGGGGCGAGGACGAGTGTGGATGTGGAAGCGGTAGAGAGCCGTGAAGCAAGGAGCGAACGGGGTCATCGCTGGTGGGGCCGAAAGCCAGAGGATGAGAGAAAAGAGAGAGCGATTTGGGACAGAGAGAAGGAAGGAGGTGTGATAGGAGTGGGATTGGGAGCGCGGTATGAGAAACGGGTGGTGAAAGGAGTTATAGTAACAAGGGTGAGCGACGGAAGCAGGGTGGACTGGAGGAAATGATAGGTGTGGAAGAGAGAGCGACAAGGGGAGTAGAGGAAGGTCGTGAGGCGGGATGGGAGCAGGGTTTCCGGTGTTGGTGAAGTAAGGAAGCAGAGGGGAGCGAGGACGAGTGTGAAAGTAGAAGCTGTGGAGTCGCAAAGCAAGGAGGTAAACGGGGTCATCGCGGGTCTGGGCAGAAAGTCAGAGCGGAAGAGAGGGAATATTTGGGAGAACGAATATGGAGGTGTGTTGGGCAGGAGCGGGATGAGAAGTGGGCCGAGGAAGGAGTCGATCTGCGGGTAAGGGTGAGGGCATCGACGGAAGCAGTGCGGACTGGAGAAGAGGACGAGACTGGAAGAGAGGGCAACGAGGAGTAGAAGAGGGTGAGGAGGCGGGAGCGGGGTTGGCGGTGGTGGTGGAGTAAGGAAGCAGAGGGGGAGGGGAGCGGCAGCGCCAGAAGACGGATGGCCCGGGGCCGCGGGTCGGGGAGCCGCGCCTTACATCTCGATCGGATCGATGGTGGGCCGAGAATTGAAACGGGCTGCCGGCGCCGCGACTGCCCGCACCCACAGCCCTCGGCCGCGAAGTCCCAGCCGTCTCCACTAGCTGCATAGCTGGTGGAGAAATCTAGCGTTCGGTTGGTTTCAGCGGTCGTCTTCCGCGGTTTCTCCGACCCAAACATGGTAAATGCGGTAAGAGTACCTTAAGAAAGGGACCATGAACCGCATGATATCATTCCGTCATTTTTGGCGCCTCCTCCCCGTGACACACTCACACAGACTCACACATTGCTTACACTACACTACCACACATGTTGAGAGTCCGGCCGGGCCGTTACATCGTGATCCGTTTGTGTCTGTGCGCCGCTACGGGGGATACCTGAAGAGGGAGAATCCTGCAAGCCGACGTCTCACATTCCAGAATTGCAGGAGGAACACATCTCGCGATATAACATGCACATTTTCTGTATTAATGACCTCAGTAGTTAACGCTGCCGGAAACAAGACTTACTCAACAAACTCCGGCTCCACGCATTCCTAGGCTCTTTCACCTCCTTCATCACATCCGATACGGATGCTCTCTCCAACTTGCAGTTCTTCTCAGTCTCCTCCCACACCACTTTCACTTAGTCGCCATGGTCTGTCTTATTTTGAGTCATGAGCCACAGCCATCATCCCATCATTCCTTTCCTGGCTTGAGGGTATTGAAGAGCCAGAGAGGTGTATCTTCATTTCCATTTGTCTTGTAGTTTCAGGAATCAAAAAATTGTTACGACGATTCTCCACCGCACTGACTATTATTGTATTCAAAAGCGAATTTTTCCTATGTTAAAGGACATCCGATAATTATTTAAAGCTATCTTGAACTGTAAGTCTGAAAGTGAATTGTTTCCCTTCTTGTTATATTGTATCTCATGGAGAGAAGTCACGTTGGAAATAAGCTTTACAATTCCTCTGCCTGCACATATCGCGTCGTCCGTATTCATCATCTGTCACATTCTCCGTGAATTTAGGTTCGACCACTTCTTTTTTTGACCTTCCCAGAGGTTTTTCATTAATCATGAGTCTCCTCTCCTTCGCCCTTCGAGATGTTGGTATGCCTTTCGTAATTTGGAATACTCATTTACAATTCGTTTTCCAATTCTTTTAATTACTTGAGTTCTCTACTTTGGTAAGTGGTTTTCTCTTAGTTTAGACCTTACTTCAAAATTTTGTGTGAAATAATGTTGCTCTGTTCAGTACAGTACAATCACCAGAACATTATATTAATGTTAAGAGTGACGCTGAAACTCGCCCAAAAGAAGAGTTTTATAAAACTACTAAAATATACAACTTATTTAAACTTGACAAACGAAAAGTTGTTTAATCCTGGTAAATAATTTACGTATAGTATTGTCACTATCGCGCACGTGCATATATAAAAATAAACGAAATAAAATATTGTAATTATTTTAATTCTTAATCCTAAGGTGACTCAAGGACAGCCTACTAGATTCCCGAGGTACGATCCGGGGTTTGATTCCCGATCGAAGCAAAAATAAAATTGTAGTTTTCCTTTAAATCAGTTTCTGTATCTCTGAGGCAAAGAAAAGATCAGGCAAGGGGAGTATGCTCGGTACGGTGAAGGTAATACGTCATGTTCGCCAGAAACCTCTCTTACTCCCCAAACGTGAAAATTAAACTAGACTAAAGCTTGGAATACACTGTTAGCTAGCCGACAATGTCGGACAACCGACCCCAAATGCCAAATACGTACATTAAAACATTTTTTCTATGGCTTTTATTTAGCTGATATCTGGTTACCCTGCACGGCTCGAGGGGTTGCATATTCGACCATACACTAGACACCAACACACGTGCGGTCTCCTCTGAACTGTGGTCAGCAAAACGCGAGCCCCTTCGCGACAACACATACAGAGAGGCAGGGAACAAAAAGCCATGCCCATGGCGGGACTCGAATCCACGACCCTTCAAACCAAAGCGTTGAGTTCGTACACTCCGTCAGCCACGTCGACCATCCAGGTCAGGATAATAATATGTAAAATAATCATTATTTTCTTTATCAAGGATCTCCCTTGTCCGCCTTAATCTGAAGGTCTTCCTGAACAGCGTCTCTGCCGATCTGTTCTCCCCCTCGACGTCGTCGGCTTGTTTCTTCAATCGCTCCCATCGGCGACTCTTCAGGACGTGGTATCAGGTTACCATCGGGTGTTGATAAATTAGGCCGCGAAGGCGGGGGCCGGCGCACAATAACACACGATTAGATTAGGGCTCGGAACACTCCTAGCCCGTCTCCAGCACCATTTATCAGTTTTCTCGCACCCTGTTCCGATCGCTCTGGGGATCTCTCTCCGGCACACAGCCCCGCCCCTTTTCATCTTTGCATCCCTCTCCCGGGCGGTTCCCCTCGTCCCCACTACAATCATCTGTATAACCATCACCGGTTCCAATGTATCCCTCACTTCCCACAGCAGGTTGTTCCTCCGACCCCAAGGTTCTCTTTTGTCCTGTTTCCTCTTCTGGTCTTACTCTCCCAGCAGTCTCTGCAGTAGGAATGTTCCTCTAAACTGTAATTTCTTAAATAGTTAATAGTTCGAAATTATTATTCGAAGTCGCCTGTTTTCGGCTGCAATTCACAGCTCTGCAACTTATTGGCCAAAACCAAAACTACAATCATTGGGGGTCACTATTTTCTACGTTAACAGTTTTACTGCAGCAAATCAGTGATTAGCAAGAGTTCAGTTTATAAATTCATTAATAAATTAATCGTACTTATTACACACCATGTACCACAGTTCTTTATACATTAGCTGTATACAAAAAAATTGTCCTTTAAATTAAATACTTGTAATATAATTGTTATTAGTAGTAATGTGAGATCCACTAATATTTCTCTAAGTGCGACAAAATAAATTGAGTTTCGGTCAAATAACAGGCATCGTTTTTTATGATTATTACTTTAGCTGCAGGTAAGCAAAACACTGTTTTATTTTTGTCAGTATCAGTGGGGTGACACCTGATAGGGCACATCCGGTCCTTATTCAAATTCCATACAGTAGCCAATCAGTTCAGAGCGACGCTATATACATCTGTACAACACCAACAAGCAGAGAATCGGTGAACTACTTTTTCATTTTGAAATTTTTTCGCAAATGAACCGGTTGGTTACCGTTGGATTCCTTCCTCGTCAACCTATGATTGTATATTCACGTGCTGTTCGTAGGGCTGTTAACGCCATATCGCAGCCAGTGAATTAGATAAATGAAGTGATTTACTGCTTTTTGAAGTCTGAAGCGTGCATTTTGGCTTCGAGAAGATGATGGGTGCGTTATAAATAGTGGAAATTTTAATGTTCATGTTCAGTTGCAGATCCCTTGTTTGGACCAAGCGAGGTGACACCCACTGCAGCAATGGGTGTAATTGGTAAGATTTTTTTAACAGAATATTACTAGAATATAGTTCTAATATAATATATTTTTATAGTTTTAATAGAATATATAGTTTGATGGGAGGCTATGATACCAGCATTTTTTAATTTTCAGATCCTTGTACACAGGCAGCTTATCAAACTGAAAATGGTAAGTCTCTTGTATATTTGTAAAATGCAAAAAGAAGCATGCTATTGAAAGCATAATGTATTGGCAATAATTTGTTGCTGATTAATACAAGTTCTAGTGCTGTTAAACATGCTGCTACAATAAGTGCAGTAGATGCTTATTCTAGCCTTGTGAAAGGTAAATATTTGCTATAATCTTTAAGAATCTCAATTATTACTTTGTTGCATTTTTTGAAGTTGGGATAGATTTCAAGTTTGTCTCCATTTTCAGATCTTTTTCACCCATGTGAGGTGTCACCTCAAGTTTTTATGGACGTTTCTCATGGTATGTTCCTTTCAATATACAGTTATTAGAGCCAATTGAGGGCAAATTATAGTAAATAAAAAACTCCTTTTTGGTGATTACAGATCCTTGTACTTCTGGACAGGTGTAAGAAGCCATTCTGGGAGATGAATCTGCGCCTTCGGTGTGTGGTATGTGCATGATATTCCTGTGCTTTCTAATTTCGTAATTCTAGATGGTGAACTAAAAGAAACATCTTTCTTTTTGAT